GGGCACCGCACCCCCCTCAATCACATGCGAGTTCATGGCTACTGTAGATAACGTTCTTGTTGCTCTGTGTTGCGTTGTTAATGAGTGAGATACACCGGAGTTGAGGATCTGTGGGGTTTATTCTCCCAANTTTTTTGTTCTTTCTTTTTTTTTAAGAAAATAACATTTTGAAATTGTTTATTCTGGTTTGTTTTGTGTTTGTATCTTTTATTTTAAATTTATTTATTTATTGAATGTTTTGTGAGCTGAGCTGTGTGGATAAATAAATAAATTTAAAATAAAAGATACAAACACAAAACAAACCAGAATAAACAATTTCAAAATGTTATTTTCTTAAAAAAAAAGAAAGAACAAAAAAAGATTAAGAAGGTCCACAGCAACGACAACATGAAACACCCATTAATTTACTGCAACGACATGTCGGGAAACCCCCTCAAGGGGTCCCCAGGCATTGTGCGCCAAAACTGCTTCTTAATTTCAGTTTTGTTGCTCCGCTCCGGGGGTGGGGGGGACTTTACTGGCATTGATTCGGACCATTGACCTTGTATAAGATTCACAAGTGGACCTTTAACAAAAAAGTTTGAGTACCCCTGGCTTAGAGTTTAAAATATCTGTTAACCTTTGTCGCTAGAGATTGGAGGGGAAGCTTTTTCTGGAAACTATTATAATAAGACCCAAAGCTTATTTGTTTGAGCGGATTTGGTCGGAAGGACACCGAATGCTGCTGCCTTTGAGTGTTGTGCTTTTATCTCAGTACGCGTCATCGTCGCGTCATCCCTCCATCTCAACGGCTGTCAGACGGCTGGGAGGGGTGAAGCTTATTCATTCACAGTGTTGTGATAGTTACTGAAAACCAGTAACTAGTTACCATTACTAGTTACTTCATTTCAAAAGTAACTCAGTTACTTTACTGATTACTTACACCCAAAAGTAACGCTTTACTGTGAAAAGTAACGCATTAGTTACTTAAAAGAAGGGCTCCCATTAATGCCCTTATAGCCTTCATTTCAGTACTGTTATTGCATTGGAGAATAATACAACCTGTTGATCAAGAAATAGCAATAGAAATAGTAGAAATAGCCTGCATGTGTTCTACATCATACCGTGCAATGGCTTTATCAACTTTTCCCTGGCTAGCAGTCCCTCGGTTAAAATCCAGCCGCTGTTGCTTAGGTGGAGGTGGAGTGGCGTCGGATGAGTCTGGGTCTGTGGTCTTAGCTACTAGCTTCGTCCCAGCATGTTGTTTCTGCAGATGTTTCAACAGATTTGAATTGTTGTTTTGGGCAGTAGATAGGATCTTTGACCCGCCAAGACACAACATACATTTATCTAAAANTATATATATATATTGTTTTGCATCCAACAACAAAGAAAGGACAGGCAGGTAACTTAAAAATAAATCATGGACAGAAATTAACCAACAATAACGGCCAACATTTCAAACTTTCACACCAGGGAGCCACAAAAACGTCCCAAATTGCCTTTTTCTTCCCCGTTCATTCTCATCTTGTTCCATCATTTTTTTTCTCTGTATCAGCATGAGCCCATACATTACATCACAGCCAATTTCCTACATTCGAGAGCTGCAGCTGCTGCTGCTATTTCCCCTCCCAGTGGGACTGGGAATAGTGTAACACTGCATCCTCTGCCATGGGAGACACACTGCAGCAGTGCAATAGAGCATCGCCTCTGTCAAGGACATGCCGGCACTTCCTGGTATTTAAGGGTCGACGATTCAATGCACCGAGCTGTATTTAGATTCTAGGTCACGCTGGTGTCAGAGGTCACCACATTCATTCATCCTCTGTGGTCATGTGCTGCGGCATGCCATGTCCCTATTCCACTCTACATGTAGTATACAGTAAAGAGTATGTCCTATCATCATTTGTATGGCTCTGGCAGATGCATTGCAACTCTTACATCTCATGTGCAAAGCTCTAAATGGTACCGTTATTATTCCAAAAGGGAAACAGCAACAAACATTTTTGGAATATCTGAAGAAATGTTAGAGCTTTTCCCAAAGATTCAATACTATGTTTGTTCTCCAATGTCACTGCTACTTAATACTATTATCTATTATCATATCTGTGGTAACAGGGGTGCATTTGCAGGTATTTTTCCAATGTGAACACACTACCGGCTTAAAACCTGCTAAAAATTATTAAGTAGGATGGCTTGGTGCTTTAGACTCGTACAAAAACGTGAGCCTCACTGGGCAACTTGTTCATCCTACTCTCTTGCCATGTTTTCTGTCCGCCTGTACTATCAGATTTAGTCCAGTAAAGGTGAAGGAAGAAGGTCAAAATAAATCTTTAAAATGAAAAAATGTCTGTAGTATAGAGTTGCTTCAGGGCCACAGGAAGGGATGGCTGGAGAGAGTAGGAGTAAGAATTCATATTTCTGCTCCAGGAACACAACATATAATTGTGTTATAGAAAAATGGCTGGTGTTCATACTGCCAGAAGGTAGACAGGGGCGGACAGATGGACAGACAGACAGACAGACAGACAGACAGACAGACAGACAGAGAGACAGACAGACAGACAGACAGACAGACAGACAGACAGACAGACAGACAGACAGACAGACAGACAGACAGACAGACAGACAGACAGACAGACAGACAGACAGACAGGCAGACAGACAGACAGGCAGACAGGCAGGCAGACAGACAATGAATGGACTGAAGGAGTGAAGGAGAGTTGAAGGAGAATCACAAAACAGCAAGAAGCCATTCAAACTGCCTTTATGAACGTTTTTATGGTAGTCCTTGTTTTTCACCCAAGGTTTAACACTTATCCACACACACGCACATACACATATATACAAAGACACTGCATGCATTTATAACATAAATACAGAAAAACACATACATACATTACTCAAACACAGATCCATTTCAAACCAGCTCAATGTAAATTAATCTAATTTAACTCCAGGTGAATGCGCACACAAAAACATACTGTATGCACACATCACACACAACATGCTCACACACCACACGCTGTACAATTCGTCTCAATTAAATTGTATTTTCATCCCAATGTGATTAACTTCATATGTACACACACACTGCCCTGACCCATATAAATCAGTGTGTAAGCAGTCCATCAGAGACAAAGAGTGGCTGCCTGTACAGACAGATATCGTTACTCTCTTTGTTTACACACAACGGGGGGTCAAGGAAGGACAAGGAAAGGGGGGGTGAGACAAAAATATGCACACAGACACACACATCACAAGTCCCCATTTGAGTGTGTGTAGACCCCTCAAAGCCTATAGCGCTCCCTCTGATAGCAGCTAATTGGCATCCCACATCACAAATAAAGATAACAAGAGCTTACTGTACTTCCTCTGACAGCCGCAGCACAGAGAGGAAGCTGTTCGTAAAACGGCTTTCGAAATAGCTCTGATTTTTCCAACTCTACGCAAAAAACACCCCTGAGCCAAATTGAGTTTATGAAATATTAATGGTGACATTAAATATAAGGCATACATTAATCTCTGTGGTGGAGAAGAGAAAGACAACTGACCAAGAGTCTCTCATGTTAGACGTCTTCAGAAAGATAATACTGTTAAACAAATGCAAATAATGCTTACAAACCTTTAAAATAATCACATAATAGAGCCATTTTTTTCCACTTCGATGCCTCAAGGTCTCCTAGTTTTTTATTACAACCATAAAAAAGATCACACTGTGTTAAACAATAGAAATGGATTCAAGTACAGCTTGAACATGCCATACTCTCACTCTATCCTCCTCATTTTCTTTGTCAGCGCGGCAGCTCAGAATCACAATGCCCATTTGCTTTCATGAGGCACCATGCGCTGCTCTGGACTCAGACTGTGTGTGTGTGTGTGTGTGTGTGTGTGTGTGTGTGTGTGTGTGTGTGTGTGTGTGTGTGTGTGTGTGTGTGTGTGTATGTTGGAGAGTGAAAAGAGGGGGAGGGGTGATGCTGAGAAATCGTAACCTCCTCCTTCCATTTCCATCCCTCTCTTTTGCTTTCTAGCGCTCCATCCTACACTCTCACGCTAAGCCACTCTTTCCCCTTCCCTCCTCACCTCAGAGAAGGACGGCAGTATCTATAATTGTGTATGAATATGTGTGTGCGTGTGCGTGTGTGCGTGTGTGCGCGTGTGCGCGTGTGCGTGTGTGCGTGTGTGTGTGTGTGTGTGTGTGTTGAGGCAAATTGGCTGTAACATTTCATCGGCGGTCA